AAATTTCTGAAAAGATCCTAAATTTCAAGTCAGGCTAGGAATATCAGGGAGCCAGTGATCTGTGCTCTATTTAGTGTGAAACACTGTTTTGTCCTTTCACTTCTGAAGATCATGGGCCTGATCCTGTTCCTTCCCCATCTACTGAGCAGGAACATATGCAAATTGTCCTCTGGCAGATGAATGTTTATCCAATGAGAGCTCAAAGCTCTTTAGGAAAGAAAATTCTGTTTGATCATGTGCTGCCTCTGAATCCATGTTTTGGGACAGTATCTGGAACTTCTTCATTGGTATATGAGAAAAAGTTGTATAAACTAGGGCACTGATAACATTGCCATGCCCAAAACTGACTTGAAAATGAAAAACAAGGTTTCACGGACTTAACTCTAAATGCCTCTCATGTCTCTGCAGAGAAAAAGTGGCCAACTTAATTCTGTTTTGATTTTCCCTGATGTGTGACCTGATTTGTGGGCTGGATTTCCAGAACCACAGTTGTGCCAAACCCCATTAGTGTTTAAGGCATACTCATGCCCAAATATGGATCTCTTGTGTTTTCTATTGACCATGTGCCTGGGTCCAACTGTCCAATCCAGGGTGGAATCCTCGCCAGGGTTCTAACAGACACAACATAGACTAGCATTATGTGATGCATAAACAATTTTGCCTGAAATGACAGCATGTGAATAGCTCAGCTGGTAGATTTGTGAGCAGGAAATATGATGTAGCCTGTGAATGGCTGCTCCTAAAATTACAATCTAGTTGTTTTCTGCCAGCCTCTGAAGCAAGGACAAGAAAGTCCTTAAGTCTTTGGAGCTTCCAGATTCCACTGTCTTCTAGATTTAGAGCTATGGAGAATAGTTCCAAAGAAAAAAGAACAGAGACATAAAGTAATATTAATTTTTTAAAAAGGATATTAAAAAGGGAAGATGGAAGAAAGGAAAGAAGGGAGGGACTGGGTTTGTGGCTCAGTGGTAGAGCGCTTGCCTAGCATGTGTGAGGCCCTGGGTTCGATGCTCAGCACTGCATATACATAAATAAATTAAATTAAAGATTCATTGACAACTAAATAATATTTTTAAAAAGAAAAGTAAATAAATAACATAAAGGCATTGGTCCATCTACAACTGAAAAAATTTTTAAAAATGGGGGAGGGAAGAACAAAGAGAAAGGGAGGGCAGTAACATTCACAGGAGGAATGTAGACTCAGAAGAAAATAGTGGGAAGAGAAAGGGGGAGAGGAGGAGACTAGAATGGGAGGAAGAAAGGAAGGAGGAATTAGTGAGAATGAAGAAAATTCCTAAGGACAGGAGCCACCACTGGGAAGAGTCAAACAGGGCTCACCTGGTTTACCTAACATTCTTTGTCTATTTATCTAACTCTGGGGAGTCCACATTTTTCATGGCATTGAGAAAGCCTGGATGGTTCGCCTTCCTACCCAATGCCTAGTATGGTTTTGTTTAAATCATTTCAATCCCATGGACTATTTCCCAATGTTGATTTTTTAGGAATAACATCCAACATTGTGCTGAAGTTCCTGGATTCACATGCAAGGCTTCTATAACTGTCATCTGCCTATCTACTTCATGACATTGCAGGCTTGAGGATAGTTCAGTTCTACAACACCCAAGAAAATTGGTCAGAGACATCAGCATGTATATCGGGTTGGTGTGTATATTGTTTTCTTCATGATTTCTCCGTTCTCTTTGTGCTCTTCCTCCGAAGCCATGAGTCCCTAAAAGAAGAAAATGAAGTTTCACAGACAGTTCAAAGTGCATCTCATGTCTCTGAAGAGAAAAAGTGGCAGAGAATTGTATGAGTGAAATTTTTGTCTCATCTAGAGTATTTTTTAAAATCTGTCCTCTAAGGTACACATTGCTGAATATAGGTATTTAAAGAAATATCACTGGGTCCTTCTTTTGTGCCAGACACTGTTCATAGAAGGGAAGAAGACCTCTGCCATCCCAGGCTCAGTCGAGTGGGCATGGGCTCAAAATTGATTCTTTCTTCAAGTTGATTATTTTGTTATACTTCCATTATTTCTTTACATAAACTCATTTACTACATAGAGACCATCACAAAATAATTTTATTTAATTTCTAAAATCTTTGAAATTTATTCTAAGTTTTGTAGTATAGCAGTGAGGGTTAAATGAGGTGGGTGTATAAGGCCCTGGATGGACTTCAGGTACTCAGCAATTATTAATTTTTTTCCATGCTAAGTGGGAAAGAGAGTCATATTACACCAACACAAATTCAGATCATCCAGCATGAGGGCTGATGATGGGCTCCACATACTAGCTTTGTGATCTTAACCTCTCTAAAATTTAGTTTCCTTGTCTGTAATGTTGGGATGAGAGAAAGATTAAATGAAGTGACATTGTGAGGTCCTTACTACAGTGATTGGTCATAGGAAGAATTAAAAGATGCTGCTCCTCACCTTGGAATGATTCAATCCCAGTGTGGAATAGCCAGATTGAACATCATCTGGACAGTTCAAGAAAAAGCATGACTAGAATACTGAGCTAAAATTATTAAGAAGAATTTAAAATGAACTGAACAGAAATATCTGCCCTTAGATTAAAAAATATTACTCAGTATGAATATACCACAGTGAATCTCCATATCATGTACAACCATAAGACTGGGATCCTAATTAGAATAAGATGTGCCCCATGTTTGTATAAATATGTCAAAATATGCTCTACTGTCATGTATAACTAAAACTAACAAATTTTAAAAAAATTACTCAAGTTCCGATTGGGAGTAGGGGTTTTGGTGGTGGTCAGGCCTGGGAGTGTTGGTTAATGAAAACCGGTGATTGGTCGATTAGAGGCCTGGCTAATAACGTAACTGGAGAGCTGCTGTTTGCATTCATAGATGATGATTCCAGAAAGGAGAAATATTTTAGATCATCCTAAAATTGCAACATAAATTATTATGTTCAATTCTGAAAAAAAAATGGACAAACTAAGAACATCCTAAGAAGGAATTTCTAGGGGCTACAAGATCTGGAAACCTGCTCATCTGGGAGACGGTTTGGTACATTGCTTAAAAGGACAGTTATGGAAGGAGATAGCCATGGTTTCTAGCATTAGACCTCCCTCTTACTAAATGACACATCCTGAACAAGCTATTTAACTTGTCTAATTTTTTCATCTATCAAATTAATATTAGAGGAGATAATGCATTAATTTATTAAAGTAAAACTGACTGCTGAAACATAAAACCCTGACTTCTCAGTCACTTGATGCAGTTAAAATATATTCTTGACTGTATCACAGGTCCATTGAGGATATTCTTGTTAGACGGCCTTCCATAAACTCACTCAGGCACCCAGAATCCTTCTAAAATATGATTCCATGTGCAGAAAAGAAGAGAGATCACCTTCTTAACCTCTTAGGCAAGAAAGTGTCATAAATCATTTCCATTCCTATTCCATTGGTAGAAATTCAGACCTGTGATCACAGCTAAATGCAAGGAGTTCTGGGAAGTATACTCTGTGCATCCAGAGGACAGGACACGAGTTTTAGTGGACTCATAGCAATCTCTGCCATATTCTAGCCTTCTGGTTACTATTTACCCATTTCCTTCTTCCTCCACATTCACTCTTTCCTCAAAGGTGACAAGCCCAAATCCCGGCCAGTGACTGCATCTGGTGCCATGCCCAGAATTTCTGGGTGATATATAATCCTTTCTGTCCAGTCAAGAAGAGACCCCTTATGATCCTGCTCTCCATGAGAGACTTGATCTATTACCCTCTGTTGCCACTGGCTCCATCTCCTGAGAAACGTTCCTTGCCCATTCTTCCATGAACATGCCTCCCTTGCAAGCTGTTCAACTTCCAATGGTGTAATTCAGGAGCCCTGAGAGTCGTTTTAAGGTTTAAACAGTCAAGAGAGGTTTGTTGGACAATAGAATATTCTCCAAAACTTAGGAGAATTCTGATTTATTTCCTTTAGCCAGTTCCTTGTGTTAGTTAACCACATACAAAGTTCTTTCTTAGACATTATAATTAAAACTTCATATTCCTTTGCTTTCTTGTCTTCATGCCTCTCTATCTCAATTAAATGACAGCTCTGCTGATGTCACAATATGTAGAGAGATATACCCACGTGTTCATGTTGTGGTTTTTGTTCCAGGACTGTCATTTGTTCAACTAAGAATTTTCCCTGGGTCATTACCCACCACAGCATTCCTTGTACTCTTTGGGGTACAAAAGATCTCTTATGGGATTCAGAAGCAATTGACTCTTTCATCTTTATAAGATCCCTGATCACTACAAGTTCTCTGCTCTCTACCATCCTTGCTTGAAAATTGACCAATTCTCTTCTGATCCCATCTCTTTCTGTAATAAGGTAAATCCAGCCAGTAGCCACACTTATCCTTTCTACCATTTCCAGAGCTTCTAAACTGGCTGCTAAACTATCACCACACATTTATATATGTATTTGACTTCCACCATCAATTTCTGTATTAGTTAAATTAAGGTAACACAAAAGTATGGTAACAGGTAAACTTCAAATTCTCAATGGCTCAACACAAGAAAGTATTTCCTATTCACATCAGGATCTAAGGCAGGTGTCATAGTGAGGTGGCTTTCTGTGCACAGAGGCCCAGGTTCCTATTACATGTTTTGCTTTCACCCACCTTCTGATCCTCTGAATCCTCTCTGTTTAATCAAAAGATGGCAAAGACATTCTATTGCGGGGGCGGGGGGGGGGGGAGAACTTCCTACTTCCTCTCAGGTTCTATTGGCCAGAACTCAGCCTCATAGTGTAGTCAAACTGTGTGCCCAAGAGGAAAAGGAAATGGGTTTTGATGAACTCATAACAGCTCCTGCCACATATGTGTGAAATGCCTTGCTCACGACACTCAATAAATGAGTTGCTATTCCTGTTACTGCATGTCCATTGAAGATAACAGATGAAGGAAATGAAGGAAATGATGTATAGGTTTGGCCTGGAGTAAATAAGACTTAGAGAAAACATGATGGATGGCCTCCAAATGTAATGTACAAGAAGAATTGGACTTATTCTGTGTCGCTCCAGAGAATAAAACTGAGCAGTGAGTGAAGGAGGCCGTTTTCCATTTAAGGTAAGGAGGGCTTTCTCATAATTAGGAATGAATTCCAAATACAGGCTCACTTTAAAGTTAGAGAGTGCTGGGTTACTGGGAGTGCAAACGCAGAGGTTGCTGCCACATAGCTGAGAGAAGATTCCTGCTTTAGGGAACATTTTCAGTCATGGGACTCCTCAGACCCCTTTCCACACTGTCATTTCATTTTTTGTATGTGACAGTGGACAGAAAGGACTTGGGTTGGTGAAATCTCCAGCAATGTGTTGGCCTCTGAGATTGTCTCCCCTTAGCTAATAACTTTAGTCTTTGTCTTTGGGAGCCTTTACTAACTTTGTTCATATGCTCTCCCAGTAAAATCTTCAAGTGAGCTTCTTCCAGTTCCACTGTGTGGTTGTTCTTCAGGAAATATATTCATATATTATACAACCACCTACCCGGCTTTTCATCCTGAAACCTGGGAATTATCCTCGACTCCTCTATCTTACTCACTGCCAATCCAGTCATTCCAATCACCAAGTACTTGCTCTTCCATTTTCTAAATATTTTCCAAATCTGTCCACTTCTTTTCATTCTCACTTCTAATCATTCTAGAGGCAGAGGACTCTGTTATCTTTCACCTGCATCCCCTCAGGCCTCTCTCCAATCCATTTTTCACATGGGAGCCAGAATAAGCCTTTCAATATGCATCAGTGGTATGAATCATAGTCCAAATGTCACCCCGGTGCAAGAAATATCACAGCTCTTTATTTTTCATGGATCACCTCTCTCCATTTTAAAGCCTTCGTCTTCCAGGCTGATAGAAATTTTATCCTCAGTTATTGTCAAGGTTTCCTGCCTCCTTGGAATTGTATCAAGCTTCCAGAGTTTGAGTGGTTAGGTTTTGGGGGCTGGCAGGGTGGGGTGGGTGCAGCTCTGTGCCTCCAAACATCTCTGGGATGGCTGTTGCCCCATCTACATCTCTATTTTTGGAGTGCTTCTGAGACTTGTCTTGCCCTCTCCCTAGGCTGTTGCTGAGAGGTGGTCCCCATGTACCCATCATTCTAGGACACATAGAGCTCTCTCCACCCTCCCCCAACTCCAAAGGAATCTATTTTTCTAACTTGGAGGCCAGCCCTGGTCCTCAGTCCTCCTTCGCCCACAATGCCTTTCTGCTTCTTTGCAAATCTCCACATTCCCCTGATGGCTTAAGCTTTTGAAATTAAAGCCAGGATTTTTTACAGCATGGGTCTTCTTTCTTCTTTGTCACATACCTCTCTTAAAGTAATAGAAAGTACAGTCAGATATCTGCTTAGAAAGCAAAAGGATAAAGAATAAAATTCAGGGAGGAAAAAAAAAAAAAGGTCTGAGGTGTTTCAAAATACTCTCAGGTTCCAGGAGAATCTGCTTATGGCTTGTATCACTCCCTCAATTACTTGCTCCTGTTGCCCTGGGAATTAAGTTCAAATGTCTCCTGTGGGCACCTCCATAAGATGCCTTCCTTGCCCACCTCTGCAGCTTTGCTTACCACCCACCTGCAATCTTATTTCCACTCTGCTCCAGATGCATTAGGCAGTATTGGGGTCTTCAAATACATTAGTCCTGGGTCTTGAATGTTCTTCCTCCATTCCTCTCCTCACTTGGCTACTTGCTATGCAAGCTCCAGGCCTGATTAAAAGTGACCCCAATAAGGTCTGATCTGTCCCATGATCTCACACAGCACACACACCTCTCCTTCTCTGTCCTTTGTACTCAAAACTACATGTATATTGTTTATCGGTGGCAAATTGCATAGGGTAGTGATGGTGTCTGTCTTATTTGCTATTCTATTCTAGCAGTTAGCCTTGGACCTGGCTGCTCCTAAGCATGTCCTAAGGGCTTCAGATAAGACCCAAGCGTGCTATTTAACTACTGGGTTATTCGGTACACTGAAGGGCTGAAGTGGGAAGGGGGGATTTTTTTTATTCTGGTTTATCAGTACCCTCCTTTTCCTCCTATGGAGCTATGAATAATGATTTGCATTTAAACCAAGCTCATTTATGAAGCATTCTACAGACACCTTCAGATTCATCCTTACTAGAAATTTGCTTTTCATTCAGAATATTCTCATGTTTATTCTTGGACTTCTTCCTACAAATGTCTCCACATCCTGGTTTCCGTGGGAGCAGGAGGGAGGAGGAGGAGGGGTGAGAGTACATTTTTGAGAAAACTGATTCATAGAAGCAAAGAACCCTAGAATAGCAGGGTTCTGGGAGCAAGAAGATTGAAGCTACCCTATTTTTAGGGAATGGATATTTGTTTTCAACACATTTAGAGCTTGTTCCAAAGACCTCACGATATGCAAAAGAGAAAAAAAAATGAAAGGAAAGAAACAGGAAATGAAAAAGTCAGCAGAAAAAAGGTCAGACAAGTTGCAAAGGCCTCCAACATCAATATTTTTTTTCAAGGGGGAAAAAAGCCAACTTTTTTTTAAATGAAAAGAAAACCCTGTTTTATTAACTGATGATAGCTTTATGACAGTTGTGTGATCTGGTCTATAATTTCTAAGTCATTCTTGAACTTGTCCCTCTGGAATCTCTTACAGTTACTCAGGAACTAAAGCTCTACATCATGATTTCTATACTGAAAACTGACATCCAGGGCTCCTGGCACAGTTACATTCACATGGCCAAGCAAGATGTGAAATGTGTACGCACAGACATTCCCATACTCTGTTGTCACACTCTTCCAGGGAACTATATAACATAATGGTGCAAAAACAAAATCATATTGCTCTGATCCTGCTACATAAATAATGCTTTAATACTGCCAGAAGAAGTTGCTGTCTCTTTTTTCCCTTTAGGTCTTTAATGAGTTCCTTTCTCTACACGAAGCACAGGATCAAGCACTAGATATTGTCAAAGTAGAACATGGAAATTCCAAATTTGACAAAAAACAGTGCAATGATATCAAGATATGATTTTCCTAAAAATAGTGACATTTTGAAGAGGGAATCCTTTAAAATTATTAAATTGTACACCACAGCCTTAAAATCATTTTTTCCCATAATAGAAGACTAAGCACTCCCTAGGGCAGCAATAAAGATTTCACTTAAATAAAAATAATTATAGACTTTAAATACTCTTGTGAATGGCATAAAAACACACCACTCTCACTTCTGAAAAAGGTATTTAATTCTAGATAGGAAAGAGGGGTGGGAGGGAAAAGGAGGGGGCAGGGGATTAGCAAGGATAGTGGAATGTGGTAGACATCATTATCCAAAGTACATGTATGAAGACTCAAATTGGGTGTCAACATACTTTATATACTAACAGAGATGTGAAAAATTGTGGTATTTGTGTGTAATAAGAATTGTAATGCAAAGAAAAAAAGTACATGTATAAAGGCATGAATTGGCATAAACATACTTTGCAAAGATATGAAAAATTGTGCTCTATATGTGTAATAAAAATTTAATGCATTCTGCTGTTGTGTATTTAAAAAAAATAAAAAAATAAAAATCAATATAAAAAAGAAAAATTTAAGAAACTTTTGCAGATTCTTGCAACTACTTAAGTGCCAGAGATGCTTAACCAATATACAATAGAGTCTTTTTTGCATCTACTCCAGTGCCAGGCACATGATAAGTTCATATCTTATACTTGTTGAATGAATTATGAGTTAAGACATGAATTCTATGAGCATTTCTTCTACTTGCTTGAACAATTTCTTCTAAACATTTGAACTGTCTTTTTCTAATTCACTGCTTTCCACAGATCCCAATACAGAGTATGTGTTCAATAAATATTTAATAAACGAATGCTAAATAAACCCTTGATCCTAAAGAAAATTACTTCTGAAAGTGGAAAAACTTTGTTACAAATAGTCCATTATAATTTCATTTAAAAGAGTAAAGCAATCTCATGTATTTAAACAAGTTATTTTCTTGATACAATATTATGTAACCACTTAAAATAAGGTCCACAAAGAATTAATAAAGGCATGAAAAGTTGTTGTGTTGCAATATTAAATAATATGTAAATTTTAAATACAGTGTGACCGCACACATTTACAAACCAATAACATGAATACAAACATTTACAAACCAATAACATGAATACAGAAGAGAGCAGATGCTAATTCGCCAACATTGAAGCAGTGTTGGTCTTTGGGTACTTGGGTTATGGATGGTTTCCTCTCCGCTTTCCTATAGTAAGACTGTAATATTCACAGTGCAGGGGAAAAATATCTTTGTTACTCAACAAAGTACCATTTTAGCCAACTTTTTCTTCCACCCATCCATTATAGGTACTTGACTGTTAAATTAAATTAGATTAATGATTTGGACTACTCAAGTGCTATAAATTTTTATTTAGTTATAAAGTTAGAGTAAAAAAAATTAATAATATAAAAATAACAAATGACCTACTTCTGCTTCCCTGGATAAAATAATACATTCCTCTTAATTTTTCAATAGAATAAAAATCATATTGGTAGTTTAAATCTGGAGTGACCAATCTGAATTGCACATTCACTGGTGAAAAACTTCCTGTCTGGGTTACTTTATTTAATGTCCACTTGATAGAATGAAGAAACAAACTCAGCCAGCTTAAACACAATAAAGATCTAAAACCACAACAATATCAACAGAACCTCAAATGCTACTTGTTAGCCAGATAATTTCCAAGTAATTTCTCTACACTCAATGTCACAAAAATCTCTAGAATTGTTCCCATTATGTTGTCAGGAAGATAGAACCACGGTGTACAACTCATCAGGCTTCCAGAAGAATTCTGTTGATGATGATATCACATTTTTTTTTCTAAATGACATATGTGAGTGTAATCCAAACCTACATTGTTACTACATTATAGAAGTAGAGCATGTTTGACTTTAATAAGCAACCACATTAAACAAAAATGGTGAGTCAGATTGATTAAGAAGTAGAGGCTCACAGGAAGGTTACGAGTATCCAGCAAAATCCAGGAGAATTTTGAGCAACTCATCCATGCAAAGAATGAGGCCTTTCCAAACTTGGCTGCACACATGTTGGAGGTCTCATT